TATATATATATATATATATATATATATATATATATATAACATTATGCTGAGAAAAAAAATCTTTTTTGAAAAAAAGGACATTGTTGTAACAAGAAATTAATTTGTTGAAAATTTTCAATAATAATTTTATTTTTTGGTCGAAAAAATTAAATTTTTTCATCCAAAATTTTTTACCCATATCTAGAAAACTTTTCTTTAATAAGAAAGAAAAATCTCTATTTTTTTAGCTAAGAAATAAAATTATTTCTACATTTATTAATTTAAAATTGTAACTATCATTAATTTTTTCATCAGTTAAAAGCTTTATATTGAAAAAATATTTACACATAATTCTAAAAAAAAATTATGTGTAAAAACTAATTACAAAAAATTTATAAAATTTAAAATAATAAGAAAAAAAATTTATTATTATGAATAATTATCCTTTTCATTGGAATTTTTAAATTATTTAATAGCTTGTAATTTTATATCGATGTTAAAATACTAAAATTCACCATCACATAGATAAAAAAAAAAATTAATCACTATATTTAGCAATACACACCGTACGCACTTGCAATGCCAACTGCGGATTTCGTAATACGTATGCAAAAAAAATAGATTTCTTAGACTATCGGTCAGGATACCAGTCACTTGAATGATCAACGATCACTTAGCTACTAATATAAATTACAAGTTTTGACCATAAGACAGCTTTTACTCAACTGAGTTCGTCCCTGAGCATGCCGCTGACCAATATCTTCATTACCCCACTTTTTATTTCTATAAACATCGTCCAGCAACATCACTTCCTCTTATTTATCATTTAATATTTAAGATAACAATCTATTATTTTCACGTCAATAAAACTTTTACTTGTTTAGTGGAGATTTACATTTAATACGAGGATTAAATAGTACGTTTTGGTACAAATTATGGTGTTACTGTATACATGCTTTGAGATTACAATTAACAATTAGTGATTAAGTGTTTTGATTTTACTTTCTCTCTTTGGATGCTTGGATGAATAAGCCATTATTCTTTTGTACACCGAGAGAAATTTTTTTTTAATTATATTTTTAGATGTAATATAATTATTTTTTATTCCGGAAGAATTGAAACTTTTATAAAATTTGTCAAACTTGCAAAATTAAATTTTTATAGTTAAAATTTTATTATTAATATTTTCACAATTATCATTTTAAATTTATTTAGTTCTAAATTTATTAAGAATATATTACTTTTTTTAATCGAATTTTTAAATTTTAAATTTGCAAACTATTGATCAGTAAAAAATTTTGCGTCAAAAAATTTTGTGTTAAAAATTTTTATATTAAATATTTAACATTCTTTTGTGTTAATTTAATGGAATAAATGTTAAATTTATTCATAAAGTATTAAATATTTAATAGAAAAATTTTTAACACAAAATTTTTTGCGGTGCATATAGAAGAATTAAAAGACTAAAAATAAAATGATCAACCTTTTTAAAGTGTAATAAAATACGTGATAAAATAATTTGTTACTTTATCGAAGACTCAACATTATTATTTACAACAAACACGTTATCAAAAGCTTGTTTATTAAGTCACTCGAACTTCCGCGTTTTAATTTAAGAATTTTTCATCACATCATTAAGCCAATTTACGCAATACTTATAATTTAAAAATCATAATGTTGAAATATGAATGAATTTACCAAAATTGACACGTTTTAAACTACAAATTATACTAAATGAGGTATTATTTGTAAATAATTACAATATTTAAAGTACTGAGATTTACCACATCTATTATCGCGGAAATACAAATGTGTTGGACTGGTTCCAGGATGTTACAAGTTCAACTGAAGCCGGTTAGCGTATAACGGGACTTGCCTCACTTCTCGTATCGCTGTATTTTAAAATGCTTATTTTTTACAATTATTCAATGTACAAATTACTCTTCCCCCACCTTACTATATCAACACATTTTTTTAAAAAATCAATATTTTTATTAACCACAATATTTAATTAAAAATTTTTAGAATTAATTTTTACGGAAAATCGTACCATGCTACTTATTTTTAAATATTATTATTAATTATCATTATTAGATATAATTTCAATCATAAAAATTTGTAATTACGTCTCAACAATTCAACAGATTTTTGTAAGCTATTTTTTACGTAATTTTATCATGTGTTTGTTTTTATTAGATAGTAAAGTGTGAAGATGTAACTAAAGTGGTTATAAAACGTTACAAAATATCTCGAATTAAAACATCTTGAAGATTTTCATCAAATTTATCAATACAAACAAATTTATTAAAAATTTTTTGTCATTTATACGAAATTTTTTCTTTAACTTCAACACTAATAGAAGAATTTATTAAATTATTAATAATTTAATTTATTTGAAGACCGTTATTTAATTTATTAAATTTAAAAAAATATTTTTTAACAATAATTTAATATTTATTTAGGAAAAAAGTACATTTATTAAAAATTAATAAGTATTTATTACTTATTAAATGTTAATAAATATTTATTAACTGCTAAAAAATATTTATAAAATCTTACGATGTTAAAAAATAATTTATTAATAGTTTAATTAATTTTCAGCAATAAAAAAAAATAATTTTTAGTACTAAAAAAGAATTATAAATTATTATACTAAAATTAACAACAAAAGTCATTAATTTAAAGTAAATAATTACCTTCTATATAAAAAAACTAACAAACAATTTGTTAAATCTAAATAAATTTGTTACATTTATTCAGAAAGTAGCTTTCATTTATACGATATAACGAGCAATTAGAAAAAAAAGTGATTTCACGA